CAGACTTTATAACTTGGAAGACCTTTTATTTGCTTGGTTAATGTTCTTGCTACATAGTCAGGATTCACTGCACCATCAGGGCGTTTTGGAACGTTTCATGACTCAAGTGCTTTATTCTTACTGTCTCTGGCATTTAGACTCCTAACTGACCTGTTTTGACTAGTTTGGAAAACCAAAGAAACTTCTTTAAGGGTAAATGATGTGCATCAGCTCTCTATATTAGCCAATCTATAGGAGTCTCTCTTTGGTACTAACAAAGAACAATCTGGCATGAATTATTTCCCACTGCTATTCAGAGACCTTTCAAGACTTCAATTCTTGTTTTCATAAGATCACCTTGTATAATTGAGGGCTAAAATGCAGGGTAATTTGTTCAGATCCCTTCCCAGTCTGCTTATCATCATCTCATGGACCTGTACAACTTACAATGGAAAACAAGTTGAACAAAATAAGCTGGAATTTTTCTAACACCACAGTGAATGCAGGCAGCTTCTGATGATCAATTTAAATAATCTTCACTCCAAACAACACTTGAAATGAGAGAACCAATGCTTCATAGAGATAAAAATAAAACTTTGAAATTTAGTTGATTTACTGAAGAAAACACTTTTTTTTTAATGATTCTTAAACAGTAACAAAATTTAGTCTCATTAGGAGAAAAAGGAATGGATTTTTTGCTGCCTTAGAAATCTTTTAAGAGTAAATACATTTGGGGATATTTGGACAATGTGGAAGCTGCACTGAGAATGTCTTTTCTTGAAGGGGCTTTAGAAGAAGATGCCCTGATTTATAAAACTGTTCTATTGACATAGAGGTCCAGCTAAGTTTAAAAATTGGAACATCATGACTGATCAAAAAGATAACACAAACCTCATGTCTCTTCATAATTTATATGAGTGTAATTAAAGCTACTATCTTTTATAGATGTGTTTATTAGATGCATGTTCAATAATCAGAGATGTTGTAAGATTAGAAAGATTTAACATTATAGAATTAACATTATAAGAAAATGACTTTTTCATAAGTCACTAAAAATGTGATGTCCTCATTGACAAAATGCAAAACCTTGTGAGCTAGAGCTAGTCAGACACGCAAGACAGGAGGCTGATGCTAGAAGGAAGAAGACCTACTCCATCTCTGCTGCCCTGATCCCGAGGAAGCTCTAAGGTGAAGCACAGCACAGATGTTGCACACCAGTGCTCAGCTGCTGAAAGGGGATAAATGACTAATAGCCTTCACAAAAGGCCAAACAAAGTGTCATAAGCTCCTAAAAGCTCCTAAGATGAGTTTCAGCTTTTTTCCTATAATTATCTCACTTCTAGGCTAAACTTGACAGAAAACCCACTTGCTTTTGTAAGAAATACTTTTGTTGTTTAGGAATGCAGATGTTGCTGAGACTCAGAAGGAAGCCTGCTTTGATTTGGCCAGCTGTCTCCTAACAAGATGTCCACAGACTCTTCATTGTACCCTTAACACTTAATCTAGACAGACAATGGCTTAATGCTAGCTCTTGACACAAATAGACACTGCAATATATCGAATAAGGCTGAGGCCATCAAAATAATTCTCATTTGAGAGGAAATGCAGCCTGAACCCCAGTTTGGGAGTCTGCTGAGTAAACACTACCAAAGGAGAAATAAACATGTTCTCTTGGCTTGAACTACCATAACTCTCAGCTGCAGAAAGAAAATACAGCACAAGAGAAAAAGGAATGTTTAGATATAACTTAGAAGACGGATATTTTCTGTTCATATTTAGAAGATCTCACAATAGCTGACCACAGCCATGTGTGGTAGCTGACATCTACCCCTTACCCAAAAATATGCTCAGGCAGATGGAGAAAGAGATTGCTGGGATTTGATTATCAAAAATAAAACCACAGACCTGGATGAGCTAATGTTGTTCCAGATGCGTTATCTTATAATCTTCAGGAAGAGAGGAAAGGAACGTTGTATCCTCCCTTAAAGAAGTCTTTCAGCAGGCTTTATTTCCCCACTGCATGAGAAGAAATTGCTGCCTAAAACTGAAAGGGATCTCTGCCTGAGTCCAAACCAGAAGAAAAGTTAGGTCTGAAAAACAGCAAACAAGTGGAGTGAATCTCAAGTTTCCATTCATCTGCTATGACACAAAAAGATCCCTGGGTCCTTCTATTCTGTATTCTTCAGGAGATGAACCCAGGTTTATGGCTTATTATTTTTCTTTATGCTTATTCTTGCCCCACACCACATTTCTATTTTTCCCAAATTCCTTCTATCTTGCATCAAACTACATTGCAGAGCTCAGCCAAAACAGAGCCCTCCAAAAAACATCCTGTGACAGTATCTTCAAATAAAATCCTAGAGTTAGTCATTTAAGCTCTTAGCAGTGGGGTTGGTTTCAAACAGAATTCACTTTAGAAATGCTTCCAGAGTGATTGTGACATCTTTAAAGCCCTCCGACTCTTCCTGGGAGGAGCAGCCTCATCGAGTGCATTACACTAGGTGCTGCAGTAGAGCCCGCATTGGTACTTGTGCATTTGACCCAGGGGTCACTGAGCTCACTGATAAGGTGGCTGCCCTCCAAGGAGACATCCAAGCCTCCAGTCAGGTCCCACAGTAACTGCAAGGTCAGCTTTTTTGCCACATACGGTGACCATTAGCTGAAAATATCAGAGACCAAAGGTCACTGCAGTGCCCTGGCAGTATTTATACACTTGAAAAGTACCTGGGTGCCTTTGTTACTGCTCCTGTGGAAAACCAAGAATTTGCTTTTTAAAACAAGATATGCTTTTTCTGTCTTATATATGCCATATACATGTTCTGCCTTCAAAAGTGTTATCTCATACTTAATGTGATGGGAACAGAATTCATCCCTCAGTAAAGCAAAGGATGCTGCTACCATTGTTTCTTCATTGTTAAAAGGTGGAAACCTCAGACAACGAGAGGGGAAAAAAAAAAAGAAAAAAAAAGGAAAAAAGAAGAAAAGAGACAGTTTTAAGGGCTTTTAAAATATCTAATGCTCCAGGATCTAAACTGGCAAGGAGCCAAGCAGTGTCTTAAAGGGACAAGCACTTTATTATACTTTCTAATTCTTCAAAAGTCTGTCTGTAGGATATATGAGCTGGCTCTAATATGACTACTCTATTCTCATCCTCCAGTGGTATACTCTGGTCTCAGCTCATAAATTGAAAATGGAAGATCACTAAATCAGCATGGACTGTTTCAGAGGGACATTGCGAATTTCCAGTCAAATCTTCTGGTTTATCTTAAATATTTCATCTTAATGTCACCTTTAGAAAAAAAATCTTTCATTCAAGTAAGTTACAACATACAGTTCTAAACTGATTACACTCCCCCACTGACCTTCTGGAAAAAGGCTTCCACAGCAGTACAAATACCACGGTGGCAGCTTTCTGCTGTAGCTTAGGAAGGAGAATTTTTGGCATAGGAAATGCTCTCAAGACACTTTATGATGCATAAACAAGATAAGAGGGCGTCCACATTGCCATAACACAATGTTTACACCACAGTGGCTTCTGGCTAAGGCTCCTTTCAGAGTCTACCACTTCTATAGGCGAGTCCCATGTCCTTTAAACCAGCATGACCAAACATAATTTACTAGGCCAAACTATTTTCTGTTTTGCCACAGATTTCAGCAGTCTAAACAAGAGGAGCCACTGTTTGAGGCAGGAGGAGATGCAGTAGTGAAAAGGATCTAAAAAGATACAGATTAATACTCTCAATGAGTCAGGTACAGCCTGACTAAATCTCCTTACAATAATAATAGCACCTTCCGCCCCTGAGGAGTAGCACTTCCCCAAAAGCTCAAAGAAACTAGAAGGGAAAGATTTAACTGAGAAATTGTATCACAAAATGCATTATAAATGTCATTCATTTCAACCAATCCCGGTTGTACTTGGCAATAAACAATGGACCCTTGAAATACAACTCTTCTGTATTCTGCTGCTAAAATAATTGAGGAGTTACCTGAGAAATATGTGTTGATAAAATTGCTCAGAGGGCTTGAATCTTTCTTTCTACCCCGGCCTTATTCTTTCATTCTCTGAGTGGAGAGGATTTTGGGTTTGGGGACTTTAAATGAAGCTGGGAATTTCCATTGCTGCTTATTTATACAGGGCTATGCACCACAGTTAATTCACCCTGACAAGAATGATGTTGAGCTTTCTTGCCATATGATCTTGTATTTAAGATCCTGTCAGTTTTGAGGACTCTAAATAAACCTTCTTTTAAATATTTAATACTCTTCAGTGATATATGCCTTTAGGCTCTGAGCCTGGTCCAACCATCAAAACTTAAGAGTTTTCTATATTTCCCAACACCACAGTCTTCCTGTATAAATTAAATTTGCACTCTAAATTCTCTGATGGATTCCAAGTTGTTTGCTTCTCATCTGCCATTCCCCTGTATCTAGAAAGAAATTAAAATCTATTTGAGTTTCTTCTAGAAGACTCCTAGGGTATTTGTATACTAAAGTCATCCCATCCCAAAAACAATATCCAGAATATTTTATGATAACGTCTCTGATGGTGTGAATGATGCTCAGGTTCTCTACCTTTTTTATAAAGGACCTGATAAAAGAAGTCAAAGAAATGGTGATTTCTTTGTCTACTTCTTTGGGCCGGTGACTTGCTCCCTTTTGTTCTGGTAACTATAGGAATCAGAGGAACAACAGGCTACCTGACACAGATCAGAGATCTTCCTGGAGTAAATAGAAGCCACCTTGCAATACTGACTCATTGAAGCATCGTGTTTAATGTGGGCTTTTACCAAAATAGCTAACAGCCTATTGCTTGAGAATCTCACCCATGTCACTAAGAGAAACATAGGTGAAAGCTCTCAGTTTAAATAAGATTGATAGAGGTTTGGATTTCTGTCCCCACTGACTATGCCAAGTTATTTTGACCACAAGTTCCACAGCAGACCTGTGGAGATTTCCTTCTAATTATATATGTCAAGTAGTCAAACCAGCTCAGATCCTCATTCAGCTTTCTCAACCCTGAAGGTGGCCAAAGGAGCTGGTAGATCAGAAGTTTCTTCTCATCTTTCCAGCAGCCTCAACCATCAACACAATTCTCAAGGTACTGAAGAACTAGGACCTTCCAGGCAAGATTTATTTGCTCCCTTGTACTCAAAGTCCTGCAGAACTTGTTTTTTTCCCATGTATCTCCCCATTTTCACTCCTGGATGTGTCACACACAGATAAAATCTGATAGAAAATCTGGTGGAAAATCTGAGACACACAACAAAATCCCAGCCCAAGAGTCACAGAAAGTTATCTGAATAGGAACAGGGCAGATGGGGTACCTGTCACATGCTCCAGCCACAATCAATAGCAAAGGCAAAAAAGCTCCAGGGAGGGCCTTCATCAGATGGAAACATAACTAAAACAAAGTATATGTCAAGTTCAGTTCAAGAGAGGGTCCTGGAAGATAACTTATAACAACTAGAATAGAAAATCAAGCTCTTCTTTGACAGAAATCGTCCTTAACTCCAAGTAAGAGTGTTTAGACTTCACAGAACTCAGCAAAATTGCCTTTGAGTGTCAGCAGTGAACACTGTATATTCTTCTAAGACTTCACAGTGCAACTGTCAGCTGTCTGTTTTCTTTCTGCTATATGTAGAGTTTATACAGACACTCCCAGAGGAGCCTTTAATTGCATGTCATGACAAGTCTCCCAACCTCTTTGCAGCTCTTCCACTTAACACATAGTGTAAACTCACCCAATCTCCCTTCACTTTCTCCTTCCTGGATTTCTCTCTCGGAGCTCTGTGGGGGCCTGTGTTGAAGCTTCATTATGATGGAGTGGACCCAGTGGAGAACTCTATAAAAAGCATCCGACCCATTTATCAGGACAGATCTCTTTAACAAGTCTATATAAACCTCATGTGTTGAAGAGACCTAACCTGTGACTCAGAGACAAAACTAAAGCCTGAAGTAACTAAGAAAGAAGGGTCTCTTTTCCCCTGATTACTTATTCCTACTGTTGTTTTCATTGTGCAAGAAAGTCACTAGGTTTTACTAATGACAGCACTGAGTGGTCAGCAGAGAGACACCATCATTACGGAGAGAGCTATGCAAACACAGAGACCATCCCTGCCCCAGAGTTCCTATAATATAAATAATAAAGGCAGTGGGAGGGAAAATAGAAGCACAGAAAGGTGAAATCCATTGTTCAAGATGACCCTACAGCTCAGTAGCCACTACAGAGCATTGCTTCTCAGGGCAAGGGATTTTGTAAGAGGTCTAGATTTGCACGTAATAAAAAAGACAAAACAATTATGACAAAGACATTGTAAAGCGTAGTTACACTTGTAAAGGGATTCTGTAGAACCTCATATCCCAGTGTGACATATTATTCCATTTTTGAGCAAATTTGCTTTAATTTTCAAGTCAAAGAGTCATTTCTTTTGCACTGCTTCTGCCTCAGACTAGTATCCAAAAATCAAGCCACACCAGTAAAACATTTATATTTAAAGAACTGTATGTTTGCATCAAATTCCTCCCCTACCCATTCCAGCCATGGTTTAACTGTACACTTAAGCACATGTTTAACTTTAACCACACAAGTAGTGCTATACACATCAATGAAACTACCTGCACTTAAAATTAAGCACTTGTTTAAGAGCAAGATGCAGAGAGACATATAGTGGGATTTTAAAAACCCCTTGAGCATTCGGTGGAAGTTAGGTGCTTAATGTGCTTAAGAGACATTTGAAAACCCCACTGAGATGGTGTATCTGCTGCTGAATGCCTCTGGAAATCTGGCAATGATGCTCAGAGTGATACAATGATTGATTGCAGTGAGAATTGCACCTCTAATAAAGTCCTGATTGCCCAGGGAATTTGCAACAGATATGGCTAAAACTGGTGCAAGGATCAGCTCTTTTTTCTAAAGCACCTCTTAGAGCTTGATCCATATAGCAGTGGGGTGTTGTGCTATTCTGTGAGCTACTCAAGCAGCAGGTCTCAGAGGGCTCACAGAACCAGCTTTTGGTCCATCTATGTTTACTACTTTGCAGACTTCAACAATCTGGGGTATAATATCACCCTGTACAGCAGTCAAAGACCACAATCCTCTTTTTCCCATCCTATCTCACCAAATCCTGCACCTCCACACTCTCTTGATCCCAGACTAATCCCTCAAAGAAGACCCAAACCACCCAGTCTCCAGCTCTGACAAAATCAGCACTCACCCAACAAAGCATCCAAACGCCTGAGGACACTCAGAAGCTGAACAAACACCTCTAATGAAATGATATAATTTTTCTAAGCTAATGAGAAGAAGGTGACCTGAGCCCACAGGTATGAACCCTAAAGGACAAGAAGCCGAGGAGATAAGCACCCACTCTCCACACAAGCTAACAGAGGTCACGCTGGCCAGAGTTTGAATCTTTCTGGCAAACAGCTCGCTGCAGCTCTACACCTGGCTGGGTTTAATTTGTTATTTATGTCAGCTTTGCATATTTGTAAAGTTCAAGGGTTTATTGCCCTGGCCTGACCTTGCCAAGTCAGAGCTCACATGTGGTTCTCTAGTAGCAATTTCTTTCTAATAAACTTTACTTGAAAGAACATGTGTGATAGATTTTGTTGATGATTAAAAAGAATGGGGCTATGTTCATTGTTAGCCAAGCTGGTTTTGAAGTTTTGTTGGAAGTCACCTCTGCTCTCATTTTTAAAGAAATGTCCCCTTCCCCCTCACCCCTTTATTTAACTGCACACCCTAATTATGTTTCATGTTGAAGCATGTAGCATTGTCTGTGTCTATACAGTAAAGACACTTCCCCTTGTGCTTATTAAGATTGTTAAATTAAAGAGCATTGTTCAGAGCTGTTCTTTAATCAGAGCATGTGCAAGCACCAAAATCTGGGCACACACAAGCGCATGAAAATGCAAGTCTCAGATGTACAAACATGTAAAAAGCTACCAGTGCCTGGCACATTCTTTAGCAGCCCCAAAGACTGTTGCTCGCAGTTTGCTTTGTTTTTCCCTGTTAAGAAAAGAAACAAATATTTTCTGTCCCTACGTTTGTATAACAGGATAAGGTCCTAGCTCCATAGGAAGCAACACCAAATTCCCTTCACCTTCAAAGGGCTCAGAAATTCATCCCCTTATGCTAAAAAATAAATAAGCCAGCATTCCCTGGGAAGTGGAACTTCTAAAACATGATATGTTGACCTTTCTGCAGTGTGGGTTCTCATGTGGCTAAAAGCATGGTGGTGCCTGTCTCCATAGTGAGCCAGGTGGGTGCCATGCAAACTTAAGCACTAGATGCATTTCAGGGACTGCATAAACTCAGGATTTTGTGCACACAGACCCACATTTAATCCAGCAGTGCCTATCCTTCTGCTAAGTGTGGTTGGTATCGTGCAAGTTTAAGAGTTATTAGAGGCAGATAGACAGACAACATGATTGCATAAATCTCATTTTCTTACAAATCCCAGATGAAAATGTTATAACACTGCTAACACATCCTGAAATCCTTACTTCCCCCAAACTCCTAATTTTCCCACAGCTTGTTGTATTTTCAGTTTAGAACATAATTCTGGACAGATAGCATTGAAGGATGTTTTCATCTGATGTATGACAGCAAGTTAGAATGTGCTTTAGTGATTACTTGAAGAGCAGGTATGTGCAAGTACTTTCCTGAATCAACAGCTTTGATTGTAAATCATTTGAGGCAGGATTGCCATTTATTAAATGTGTGTACAATGACCTGCCTGAGATCCCTAACACTACTGTAAAATGACTAAATAAGTAAGTAATAGTGACATTCATGCTCTGACAGCAGCTATGAGACTTTCCATTAAATGAAGAGCTCAAGAGGCAATTGCGCCTAATAGTCAAAGCAGGGAGGAGGAAACTGAATTCCTGTTTGTCACTCATGGAGCAGGGTCAGGATGCAGGGTAGGTTACTGCTGCCTGAAGTAGCAGCTCATAGCTCCCTCTGTGAATGGGACACTGGCTTCAGGAATTGTCAGCCTGACACAAGTTTTCCTTTACTAAGTGGCAAAAGACACTAGTTTGAATTACACTCAGTGTGGGTAAAAGCTGCAGGGCAAGCAGCAACGATCAGCTGTGTGCCAACTGATTAGAAGAGCTCAGCCTGATGAAATCTGAGATTTGCTTTTTCCAGTACCACCAAAGCAAATCTTAAATCTTATTGCTTGTCTTCTTTTCGTATGAGGTGGCTTCAAAGAACCAGGTGATTTTAGCAAACCATAACAGACATGTATGCAGGTTTGTATGTTCGTATGTGTATATATACAGACACACCTGCGAATACTTTTCTTCAGCTTCTCTGTTTCTTTGGCATCACTGTTATCTCTGTCTCCATACACAGCCTTCTTGTCACGTTCATTGTCTTTACCTTTCCCACCTCTTTCTTATTTCAAATTCTTCCTCTCTCTCTGTGAATTTCACATCTTTTTAGCTCTAAATGTCTTTTCATGGCCCAAATAACACCACGTCTTTTTAAACAAATAGCATCCCTTTCTCCTCTTACAAAACTTTTTTATAATGTTCTCACTTAAAATGCATAAATAGTTTGGCAAAAGCACATTTTTACAAGGAATAACAAAATCAAGGAGATCCAAAGCCGACTAGACAGCCCCATATAGGCAAACCAAAAGCAGAATATAACTGGGGTTTCCAAAGCGAACTGGAAAAGTTTCAGCAAAGGCCTAGCCCTTATTCTGACTACAGCTTAATTGGACACCCTGGTGTTTGAAGGGGCTCGGTGGAAAATAAAAAAAATGTGCCTATTGTTCTTAGACCAAGTATTATAATAATAATCATTCTTTAAGCATCAGCAGTGCCTTTCATCTAAGGACCATAAAGCGCAGAGCAGGCATTAATGAACTAAGCCTCTTGGAGTTCCTATAAACAAGGTAGAAATTTTAGACCCATTTTTAACATAAGACTGAGGCCCAGGTAAGATAACAGCAATTTGTTTTTTACATTTGCTGTTGTTTACTTAATTCTATTTAGGCCTAACAATAAGTAACACTTGATCTTCAGAAGTCATAAGTATCCCTTATCCGATGGCTCTTATATAGTGTCTTTAAAGCTCAATTTCTACTTTAGCTGCCTTAAAAGGATGTGCTTAGATTTCTCTGCCTCAAAATCCCTCCCAAATCATGCCACAAGTTTGTGCAAGGACTGGAAGAATTTAAAGCTCCTAGTTCCTAGTCCCTTCATCTACACAGTAGTCTACCATGATTTTTGTAGTACAGCTAATGTCCTGTAAAGACCTAAGCATAGTCTTCACTTTCAGCATGAGCAATTCTATTGAATACAATATTAAACACAGTGAATACAGTTGATTCAGTGGGCAGGTTTTCCTACAGGATTTGGTCTCACATATATCCTTTCTAGCCTTTAGAAACTCTCAGATGACTTCACACACTCACCCAAGAGTTTCAAATATGAAATGGAGCTAAATCCCCACAAAACCTTGTTTTATCAACCTTCGCTAGCTCTTCAGTGATTGGCCAGGAAGTCTGTAAGCAGTTTCCCAGGCATTGGCTTAACAAGAAGCTTCCAGCCTCGCTTTCAACCAATCCAAGTGCTAAACAGAGCACTGCCCAATTTATTTTTTAACAAGGTTCTCTACTACTGAAACCAGTATGAAGTGCAATTATTGGATTAACATTCAACTGTTAAATTATCCTCCCAACATCTTTCCAGGCCATTCTCTTAGCTCTTCAGAAGTATATTTTATTGGGAAGGGTAAATGTATAAAATTCTACTGTTAAAACACTTAACAAATCTCCCCTGTCAGGCCAGTAAACTGTAGTCCACCCACTCTGATCTGAGATTGCTGTTTCTCTGCTCCCCCTTCTCCACCTCTCTTTTCTTTGTTTAAAATATGCTGACCACACAGTGACCTCTCGTAACCCATTGGTCGAAAATTACAACCAGCCACACAAACAAGCAGCTCGAGGTCAGAAAGAGCAGGGTCTGCTAAAAGTTAGTAATCATACATTAATTCCCTGACATAATTAATCAAAATGAACCACCGTTATCTAGCGCGGAACCTTTAACCTATTACAAAGGGGTCAATTTGCAAACCACTTGAGCATGGGAGTTTGGTACAAATAGCATACTCCCTTCATCTGGGATGCCCTAAGTAGGCAAAAATGCCTTTGAAGTCCCAAATCTACCAGATTTAGATATAATTTCATCAATCAAGTTAAAAGGCTGCCTTCCTTCCAAAAAGGATTTCATGTAGATCTGTCATCTAGCTCTGTTCAGTGGGTGACTGAAAATCCATTTGTTAGGCTCTTTTTGTCAGGATGGAGTGGGCTGCAGTTGGCTCTACATGTCAAAATAGCTGAAAGTTTATCAAATTGAAGGCTAAGAGGCATGATTTGTGTTAGAACCTGCACTGGGCTGGTGAAGGAAGCAGTAAATCTCAGCTTTGTTATGCCAATCAGCTCCAATTCTGGATCTTAATTGTGTTTTCATTAGATATAACTATAAGTCTATCTATATAGAGCATACAGCTATTCATAGGGAATCAGAAACAGGACTTCACACATCTGAACAGCTTGCAGGACCATGCTGCCTAATGATCCTTTATGCTCTCACCCAAGCAAAGTCCCTGTGAATTAGTAGTATCTCCATCTTAAAAGTAGGGAATTGAAGCCCATAGAAACAGCCTTGATCTTTCAAGCTATTTTACCATTCAGTTCCTTTTCACACCTTAAATCCCCACTGAAATCAGCATGAATTGGGCATCTCAACAGGAATCAGAAGCCTAAATACTTTAATATTTGGGTTTAAATGGCGTGTCCAAGGTCAGATAGAAGGAACTTGCAGCAGAAAGGGAAGTAGATCCAGGTCTCTGAAGTCCACTGAATCAACCTTCCTTCATCATATTTAAGATCCCTACAGTCCATGGAGTCTCCCTTGAGTGTTATCTAATCCTCTTTCATATATACCAATACAAACACGCATCCGTATGTATATTTAATGTATTTATTTACTGCATGCAAGGATGGATGAGCTGTAGAGTTTTAGAAGAATATCTTCTTATCCAGTGACATTATACATCACACAGGTGAATCTCAAGGGGTTTATGATGTTACCAAGACCCCAAAACAGATTTAATTTTAAGCCATTCACTGAATCTCATTTTCATGTCATATAATATATGACCACAACAAAGGTGTCAAAAATATTTCAAATTACTTTATATTAATATTAGTGCAACAACTGCATTTGGAAAGTATCACACCCACTTTAAAAGTTTCTGGGAAATGTAAAACAAAGTCATTGCTAAGGTCAGTGTTTTAGCAGAGGTCACTTGAACTACAATTCCCAATATGCACATGGAGTTGACATGTCTGGCTTTTAAAACAAAATCACAATTCATCATCTGAATGTCAGATCTGTGGCTTATGAGTTCCCGGTGTCTGA